AATAAAAGGCGTAGAAAAGCAACAAAGAGACAAATAAAATGACGCAGCCACGGATGCAGTGCAAAGGGCTGCGTCACCAGCACAGGGTCAAGGGGAAACACACCCAACCACCACACACAGACCAAGAGCACATGAAGAAAATGCAAAAATGCACAGCTGAGAGAAATAACGCACAAAAAAGCAAGAAAAAACGCGCAAAGCCAGCAGCCAACATCACGAGAAACACACCACGTTGAGCAAGATGAGGAAGAGCATAAAAGAGACACCACCATTAAACTCCTGAACGGCAGCACGTGGATTGCGACGAGGAGACATTGCTGCATTTGCACGGGGTAGGTAATGCAGCCCATCCCATGTTCCCTCCTGCCGCGAGTGTGTGGGTGTCAGTGCATCCAGGCGAATAAAACCAATCTTCTGCAATCGCTCATACGCCAGACGATCCCACTCAACCTCCCTCTGGTGGGTCATGCCAGAATGCGCATATTGCACTGTGGGTGGTGACAACCACACGGCCCATTCCACGTGTGGCGGAAAGCGGCTGTGCTCCCCAGCTGCCGACCGCATTATGGCACGACTGCGTTGGTTCTGCTCCCACATGTACTGCTGCCACTCAGCATCACCAGGTGCTTCAACAGTCGCTGGCGCACCGAATGGCGGCATCGTCGTGTACGGACCGCGCAGCACTGTCAGGTTACGCCGTCGCCACTCACGCACAAAGAGATCAACAAACTCCACCCATTGGGTTTTTGTTCCTTCGGTGACCATATACTGCATGCCCATGTTTGTAACAAAAACTGTAGCATCATTGACAGTGTCTAATGCAGCATTAACTCTAAGCAAAGCACTTGCACGTGTATATCGTTTTGCTTTCACTAAAAACTCAATCCTGCGACATCGTAATAAAGAATTACTTCGATTAGAAAGTGTCTCCTCGCAGTTGGAGTAATGCTCACGTGCCATGCTATCACCAGCAAACAATATTTCTGTCTGTCGCGTGCGGAACGAAGGTGTGCGCAGACACACTGTGGACGGTCCCCCTGTGCCCTTAGCGAAGAGACGCAGCCGGCATGTGCTCGGCACCCACACCAGGTGGTTGTTATAGCCACCAGGGTCCGTCAGTGACACAGGGTTGCCGTGACAGTAGCGGTCTCCAGCGGTGCAGTTCGCTGCGAGCGGGTGTGGAGCACCCTCTGGAGTATGCGGGTCAGCGCCATCAACGAAGCGCACCCACTGCCCACCCTCACTGGTGTTGTAGTTCGTGGAAATGTTGCAGAAGGGGGGAGTCACATGGAGCGTGGGCACATCCACAGCAGGCAACACACGCACACGCAGCGGACTGCCGTACACAAGGCGCTGCACATCACACACTCCATTGTAAAAGAAAAAGTTTCGATATTTAGACGTGTAATGCAATCCAATTCTACCAAGATTTCTACATCTTTTGTAATTATCACTGTTACCGTTGTAGTGTACCATTTTCACCTCCAGCGTGTAGTCACCGGGGTCGAGGGGACGGAAGCGCACAACCCTCGCCACACGCCCGTGCCCGTCTTGCGCAGCCCCGCCACCTCCAGGAGGCACCACCTCCGCATCCAGCACACGGTTGGCATTGAAGAGACGGGCTCTGAACAGCACATCCTCGCTGCACGCATCCGCATCCGAAGCCACCGCCTCCATGCACTGCCCACACTGCTCAATCACAATGTCCTCACTCCAATCCCCCGCCCTCACCGTCAGCACACTGGGCAACTGTGACGCCTGGGAGCGCCCGGTACGCACAACAAACACATAGCGGTGCTTCCCACCCGTTAGACGTGAGAGCAGGTAGCGTCCACACACGGGGTGTGGGTCACGGAATAGTAGGGTACGAGGGTCTGTCTCTTGATTCTTCCGGAATTTGTTGCGTCCCGACACAATATCGAACTCACGCTGGTGCTGTGTGCGCAGCTGGGCACACGTCATGCGACGGTATTCTCGTGGCTGTAGCATCATCGACAAACTATCCGGTCTTCGTGCACTGGCGTACCACTGCGGCACAATTGACATGGTTACCGGAAGATAAGAGGTGTAGTTGAGATTCTCTTGTTCACTGATGTTCGGTGTTCCAAGAAAAGAATTGTTGGGACGGATATCTTCGTCCAAGAGAGTCAGACTCCAACCCCATAGTAGTGGAAATGTGAGCAGCATGGTGATAAGTGGAACAGATATTAGAAGATATAGGCGCTTTTGTGGTTTTAACGATGCAGCTAATGACATTGTGCTCCTTTTTCAGTTCTTTGAGGGGTTTCAAAATAAGGTGGTATCTATTAAAGGAGAATAGGTAGTTTTAAGTACTACAAGCAGAGAAGATGGAAACACATTTTAGTATTATTTTTTGGTAATATTTCGGTATTGCGTCACCTAACATCCAGAGTAGATTGTTAATAGAAGTATTAGCGGCTTGCTATAGCACATAGGTTAGGATAGTTAAGCCAAAAGTTTTCCTTCTACAAGAAGAGCAAAAAGCTGTGGATGAGCATTTTCACCGGCACTCTTTATCGCTTCCGTTGTGCTTTGCAAAAGCAAACGACGTCGCATTAGCGCGCCTCGCTTATCGTATAAAACCTCAAAGAGGTGGTGGGCTGCTGCATGGTTTGCTAATCCCAATTGCACCATACTTTTGGTGAGCTGGACTACTAAAGTAAGGTCTGTATGCCAACCACTGCCAACAAACCGCTGAGAATCCCCGTTATCATGGCGTTCTTCCTCAATAACGTCAAGTAGGGCGTCAGCACAAAGGTTTGCAATAGTACCATGATGTGGCGGTAGTACATTAATAGAAGCAGAAAAGATGGTGTTAATGTCTGTTATAGTGGGTTGAAGTTTCTTATTATGAGAGGTACGATTTTCTTTTAGAGATTTGGCAGCAGTTTTAAGAATCAATACAGTTACTTGTTCGGTTTGTTTCTTTTCTAGAAGTGAGAAAAAGTTTAACAAACTGATACAGTAAGAAAATTCAAAACTATTTTGTTCCTCCTTTGCCAAGATTAGTGTACGCTTAATATGTGTGTTAATCACATCTTCTTCTAAATCGACATGAGCAGTAGTAAAAGCATCAGCAAGAGTTGCAAGCACACTACAGTCACAAGTATTGTTTATTTCTTTAAAACGTTTAGCCACTGCATCAAATAGAGCCCTAGATCGCACACCGCATTGAATAAATTGTCGCGTTAGTTCTGCAAATGCTTTGTGTGAAGTCTGTGGAAATAATTTAGATGCAGCATGCTCTGTAAAGCATCGAAGAATACTGTATTCTGTTGAACTCTTCTTCTCAATGAGTTGTAATACTGCCATCATTGTTGATAAGGAAATAGCATTATGATGAGCAGCCATATTCTGTAATACAAGATCACTTATATGATCGTTAGGGAATGCTTCCGTTAAGCACTGAAGTACCACAACAGCATTACTTGCAACAGAGGGAAGTGAACTTGGATCACTTTGAAGTAAATGACGTACAAGACCAAGGAACACTGGTTGAGCAGCAGTAAGACAAGCTGTGTGTACAGTTTTGTCCCATGTAGAATTAACTCCACACATAACAAGACGGACCGCAAGAGGTAATGAGAACTTTAATTTTACTTCCGTTACTCGAGCTAATAAAACCCCAAAGAGATATTGATGACTTATACGTGCTATGGAGTAACTCTCAAGGCATTCAACTACCTCTTTAGAGTCTAAAAATGGACATACCTGAATAGTACGAAGTATGTATGCTTTCATTATACGTTCCTGTAAATCACCATATCGTTCTTTACTTATCTGAGAAAATCCTCGTAAAACAAGTGGGACATCCGATACTGTACATTGTTGTCGCATGCGTAATACTATATCTGCAAGTAATGTCGGAATATTAAATAAAAATTCTAAATCTTCAGGAGGTAAAGTTTTACCAAGCAACTGTAATTTAGTTGCTATACGAACAACGATTCCAGCTTCTCCTGGACTCATTTGGTGTTCAAAATGAATAATACGGCGTAATATTTTTGTATATTCAAATCGACTAGTATCTTCCAATTCACATAATACTTGTAGAGCTGACATGGTTTGTGGTACAGAAAGTGTTGAATTGGACGATGCTGCTTCTTTTGCCAAAAGTATACGTAGAGTTACTACAGCTTGTCCATTAACAGGAACATGAAAAGTAGAAAAGGACCATAATACGGATGAAATATCTGAAGGAAGAAGTAAAGGACCAAGTACATGAACAATTGCAAGATATCGTTCTGTAAGTTTCTCTTGTCGAAGTTGACATACAGCAGCTGCTGATACAAGAAGACGTGCAGCTATCTTACTTGCATGTCGTCGTTGATCTTTAGTAGTAATTAACCTCAATTCCTTTGGTACTACTATAGTTACTGCAGTGGCAAGTTGATCAAGTAATTGATGAGAGAGATGATGAATGGTGTGAGGAACACACATGACAACTGTAATTTCACTTAATGCTGCAAGATCAAGTGCTTCATCTATTTGATTAGTTCCATTATTTTGTTGTTGTAAAACACGTGTTAATGCAGGATCCAGAACATCCGTTCGAAAAGCTCGAAGTTCCGTTGGTTCTGCTTCTACAGCATGTTCAGAAACAAGACGATAGAGAAGACTTACAATAGAGAGTACTTGAAAACGTTCTTGTGTAGCTGCAATATTACTTCCACGTCTAATATCTGCAGCAATAGGCTTAAGATGAGCAGCCACTACATCATTAAGAACAATACTACAATATCGTAAACCGAGAGAAGTAGGATGCCGTGTAACCCCAAAATCACGTTGTTTAGCTCCTACATGAGAAACTAGAATATTCATTCGCATTACAGTCTCTGCAAGTGAAGAGACATTACCAGCTTTTCCAACAGATACAAGACTCTTAACAACCATTGCATGTAATCCTACAAGTTGTTTTGCCGTTGTTGCATTCATTCCACAAGCGGTAACATAAACAGTAAAATGTAATATCTCCTGTAATAGTTCAGCGGCTGCTTCTCCCTCTGCATCACTCATAGCACTTGTACGTTTAGTTCTTGCTAATTGACGTTGTACAGCTTCTACAACTCGAGGAACAAAAAGTGCGGTCACCTCTGTAAGTGAACGTTCAACTTCAGGTGAAGTACTATTTAATATATTTCCTCTCCTTAGACTTTGATGTTGTCCAGCAATATGAAAACGTTCCACAAAACCATCTATTAACAATACCATCCCATCTATAAGGTAATGATATGATCCTTCTCGTTCTAGTAAAGTAAGTAGTCGTACAAGGTGTGTGGTTAATCGCTTTTCTTCTCCTCTAACAAGAAGTTCTACTGCAGTTGTAAGAGATAAATGTAAAATCATACCAAGAGACACAATCTCACCTTTTCGAATAATGTGTTTACTATTACTAATTCCACCATCCCTAGTATTATTATTATTATTATTATTATTATTATTATTATTATTATTATTATTATTATTATTATTATTATTATTATTATCTTTAGTATGGATAGTATTTTTTTGCTCTCGTTGTAACTGCTCTGATAATAAATCCCCAAGAGACTTTGGTTCTTCCAGCAGTTCTGTTGGTGTTACCGTTACACGATTCCCTGCACGAATGATAGACTCAATTAATGCGGCACTTTCAGTCATGAGAGATGTAGAAAGACGCGCTGGCAATGGTGCCAGGGCAAATGATCTTGAGAAGAGAGAAGCAGCATATAGCAGCTCTAATGCCTCTACAGTATTGTGTCCAACACAAAGGCCACTGCTTAAAACGGCTTCTGGGTCAAATCCAGCAGAAAAAAGTGCAAATGCTACTTTTGTACGTTTCGATTGAATAGATATTTTTTTCATAGTGTTATTATCACTATTATTACTATTATTATTATTATTATTATCATCATCATCATCAATATCATTCCTTCCACCCGTAATGTTATCCACTTCACCCTCATAGTAATTAGAAAAATCTTTTCCCACCTTTAATTGTTGCAGTAAGCTATCAATAATGGTGTCATTAGCACATTGATAAAAATGTGCTGCTCCTGTAAATATTGCAGCTTGAACCGCTTCGCAGAGATCGCTAGATGGTAATGTTTGTACACGTCTTACCATCTCTGGAGTACAAAGAATATCTGTGAAAAGCTCAGGACGTGAGCTAACTCTACCACATACTTTCTGTAGACAATCTGTCACTCCACATCTCAAACGATCTCGAAGAAGTGGAGGTACGACAGAGTCCGCAATTGAAAAGTATCGTAAAGCATCTATTAAATCAAAAATATGTGTTTGAATATTTAATAAATTACTATTAATAAATTCTTCCGTTAATTTACTAGAAAGGTAAGTATCAGCATCCGTTTGTGTCTGATTTATACAACTTTCCCAATTCTGTACACATTGTGTTTGTGTAGATAATTCATTCGACATTGTAGAAGTTAGAAGAAGAAGTGCAATATCAACAACAGCTTCTGTTAGTGAGTGAAGTTCACGTTTATTTTCCTCCTCTGAGATGCGGTTCGTGGCAGAAATAGCAACCTCTTCCAATAGTTGTTTCGTAATATCTTCTAACCATTTTTTGTGATCACAAGAACTCGTTTTCCGTGTTTTATTCGATTTTTGTTTCTTATTTTCTCTAGTAGAAGTATTAGAAGTAGCAGAGCTATATAATCCAAAGTAGTTTCGTCTAATTTCAAGACCAAGTAACAAAAGTCCCATTTTCATTGAAGTCTCAAGTTGCTTCTGTTGTTGTTGTGAATATTTATGTTTAGATACAGAAGTGGTATATAACTCTTTATACCATTTAATCATAGACTGTACAAGATTTTCCATTATCTTTTCATACACAGAGGTATTGTTAAAAGCACTAGTTCGGTATATACGTAAAAAAGCAAGAAGAAGAGAAAAATCTTCTATATTTCGTACAATTTCATCTGTATGAAATGTATTTATACCACCTTGTCGTTGTAACTTCTCTTGATGCGCATGTAATACATTGTGAAGCATAGGATATTCATCTGGTAACTTCACCGCACGTGTAAGTAAAGCACCCAAAGCAGCAGATCCAAGAGTAGTAGTATTAGTAGTAGTACTTGTTGATGTAGATGTAGATGATGGCATAGTTATTGTTGTTGTTGTTGTTGTTGTTGTTGTTGTCGTCGTAGTTGGTGTCGTTCCTTTTGAGTTAATAGTTCCATTACCAGACGATATAACATTTTTACCATCTTCTTGTACATCTTTACTTTCTGTTTCAACCAATGGTTCAGTTGTACAAGCTGCTCTCCACTCTTCTACAACACGCATAAGATCAATTCTCAATGGCCCTGTTGTTTCATGGTTAACACTTTCTACTTTTTTAAACGCTTCCGTCTTATTTACTTCTATCCCTTCTTCTTTATCTTTCCCAGTAGGTATTGAATGTGAAATTCCTTTATTCATCTGTGATAAAACGTTACGACCACCTTGTGGTTTCTTAGACTCCGCCGGATTCTGAGTCTCCTTATTTCTTTTTCTTTTCGGTTGCGGCTTCGCAGGATCCATGGACTCTTCCGCCCCTTTCCCTCCTGAAGTGGAAGAGGAGGAGGACACCACCGGCTTTACTCGTCGCTTGGGTGCGAGTGGATGGGCTGTCCCACGGAGGAGGTACGCACGACTGCCGATGGGGGCGACCACCACAACGGCGGCTGCGGTGATGCCCAGCGAGAGTCTGCCAAAGCGGAGGAGCATCAATCCGCACAACTACACAACGTATTTTTTTTTTTTTTTTTTTTACTTTCTTTCCCCCTTTTTTTTTTCTTTCTCTTCTATTTTGTGGCCACACCGTAAAGGTTGGAGCAGGAAGAATGGGTAAAGAAAAGAAAAAAAAAAAAAGAAAGAAGGGAGGAACACAATAAGTGAGAGAGAAAAAAAGAAAAAGAGGATATAATAACCCTCCCCCTGCAAAAGAAAGAAAAAAAGAAATACATTTAAAGGCGACGCAAATCAAAAATAATAAATAATAGACAATAATAATAATAATAGTAATAATAATTAGTTATTCCCATATAATGCATCAACATCCATGGTAAAAAGGAAAACAAAAGAAAAAAAAAAAATGAAGTAAAAGATAAGGAGGAAAATAAAAAGACGGATATAATTCAAACATCGGAGACTGTTTGCATCTGGGTGTTGGTTGCTCTTTGATCACTAAGAACAACCTTTCCGTGACGCAAAATAGAGCGAACATCAGGGACTACAAGCAAAGCCTCTAGTAATGGCATAAGAGTTCGCAAAACACTATCTTCTGCGTCATCGTTTGCGGCTTCCATTTTTCCTCGAGGTAAAAAAGGCGGAATGATGAGTGCATTATCTCGGTTAGCAACTACACATTCCTCAACGTTGTCAATCATAATCATCAACTCTGGTGGAACCTTTAAAATACGAAGGTCTTTCACAAGTATTACATTTCTTGTATTATTATTATTATTATTATTATTATTATTATTATTATTATTATTATTATTATTATTAATCTTGGGTGTTTTTGAAATTCCACTAATGGAAGCTTGTGCAGCTCCCTCAAGTGAATTCCTATTACCAGAATCACCACCACTAGATGTAGATCGAGAAGAATCTTGTGAACTAATAGGTGTTATTTTGTTTGTATCAAGTCGGCATGATGATGATGATACCAAAGCAGATCGTGCAACCTGTCTACAGTGTTGACGATAGTAGCATCTTTTTATAAGATGGTTTGGATCTAATCGACGAAGAATAGAATCTGCGTACGGTTTTGTTGAAGAAGTAAAAAGAACTATATTAAAAAGTCTCGCCATTGTGCTTAAAAATAGACGAACATATGGTCTTTCCCACACGTGAAAAAGTTCTGCTCCTGATGCTGTTGGAATTACTTCTGAGAAAGTAGGAGGTAAATAAGAGGCATCTTTATTAGTCGATACAAAGCAAAGAGTTTCATCAAGATCCATAATAAGCACTTTTTGACGTGTAGCCTGATAAGAAAGCACATGATGAGAGGTAATAGAGGCGATGGAATGTAGAGGTATTCTTGAAGCTACATATCGGTCAAACTGAACTTGCTTACTACTTTCACGTCGGTAAACTACTGAAGTAACACCAGAAATAAGTCTACTATTATTAATACCATCACTATTAATATTATTATTAGTTGTCACTGTACCCCACTGAGAACGACCTTGTGCGCTTGCGGTACTACTGTACTCATCAGTGGTTAAAGATAAATCATCACTACGTACACCATGTCTATTACCAGAACGACCAAAGGAGTGCGGTGGCCATTGGGGTGCTGTATGTCTAGTAGGTAAAACAGATATTGTAGGTAGTTGAATAGGACCTACAACATTACCAACAAGACGGTGTAAACTTTCAGAGTAACAAAGGTGGTAATGTGGTGAAACAAGTGGTACTACACGTGTAAGAGGTAACCACTCTGATATTTCTCCTTTACAACCACGTAACAAACGACGACGAACCCAACGTTCTCCTTCTAAAACATCTTCTTTTCCTTTTGATATATTCTCATCACGTTCAGTTGAGGTGGATTTTTTTTCATTACCTCGGCTTTCATTTATCGATACATCATCTAGAGATGAGCCTAACCACTCCGGTGTTGAACTTCCACCAGAGGAGACATAAGAAGAAGAGTTCGGTTGACGTCGGTAACGAGCTAATTCAGCTTTTTTACTTTTAAGTTGCTGAAGAGAAGGTGGATACGCAAGATGGCTTCGGCCTGTGAAGAAACAAAAAAGAACGTAAAGTGTTTTGTGTATATCCTTCCATGCCAATAATCCATCAAGTAAAGTTTGCAGACAAAAACGCACAACACATGGTATGGCTAATTTAAGCAACCAATGAATAGATTGCATTTCTTCTCTCCCCCAAGTAGAAAGAGAGATAGATAGAGAGAGAGAGAGAGAGAGAGAGATGTAACCTTGAAGCAAAAACAAAAAAGAAAGAAAGAAAAAAAAAAAAAAAACAGACATTTTACAAGATCCATTCATACAAAAATGTTAAACTATTTTTCCCTTTTTAAGAGGTTTAGTTTAATATGTTATCTCTCTACAAGAGAATAAATGAAAGAGTACACACCTCTACGTCTTTACTTTGTTTGTTTGATTCTTTTACTAATCTTGTAGATATATATATATATATATATATATATATATAAATATATGTGTACGAGTAAAGAAAAAAAGAAATAAAGAGTAAAAGGAAAAATTACTCAGCATCAGCACCATAACCGGAATCAGCAACTTCCAATGGATTTTCTTCCTGCTGTCGCATGGCTTCCTCCCTCCGTTGACGTTTCTTTTGCAGACGTTCTTCTTTCATATCTTTCTTCCTGCGAACATTTTCATCCTGTTCAGCTTTACGTTTTGCCTTTTCACGTTGCTTTGTACGTACCTTTGCCCCATTTCGTGCCACTTCCTCTGCTGATTTCTGTTCAAATTTATGATACAACACCTCACCTGATGCAAATCCGTTCGTTACCTTTACTAACTGCAGAGTGAGACGAGGTCCTATCTCTTGCAGTTTAATACGGCATTGTTCACGATGCTGGCGGAATGGTTGTGCCAGTGGAACTTCTTCACCTTCACCATCAGTGTCTGACCAAACATCCTCGCGGTCGAGCACGTCATCTATAGACTCAAGTGTGCCGAGTTTTGTCGGACAGCGGCGTTCAAGGAGTTTTTTAACCGTTTTACTGACACCCACAGCTTTAGCATTAATAAAGTAATGTCGTACTTCCACAAGCTGTTCCACATGATCATAGTGAAATAAACAAATACGTTGAATATCACTATTCTTGACAAGTTGAATATTTACAGTTGGGAACATACCTTTAAAAGTGGCTTCCAGTAAAGGTACCTCAGGACGTCGTTGAGCATCTGGATGAGTAAAGTTATTTAATACCACAATTGGGGCAACTTCCCAAACAGCTTGACTCATAGAAACAGGGCGCCGCTGTTTTGCCGTAATTTCATGACGTAATGTAAAGGAAAGAACACGAAACGACAAAGTTGGACCATTTGCAAAACGCATTATACGAAGTGAGGTTCCATGTGATGGAGCCGTAAATAACTGGAGATGTGATACACTAAACGATGAGGCAATAGCGAGGAAATCTTTAAGTGAACGATTTTTACCATGTAGATTCCTGCTGCTCCATGGGAGGAAAACGGCACGCCAATCATGCATAAGAGCACGTACATTATTACCCACTTCACCTCTGTAAATAATAATAGACTTCGGTGTTGCCTTATCGGCCTCGGTGGTATCCACCGTTCCTGGCATAGCCTTAGACTTGCCCATACTTACTGTCGCAACTAAAATGATATGATGTGTTGTAGTGAAAAAAAAGGCATCGTAAATAGAAAACGAAGAAAACGAGAAAAAAAAGGAAAAAAAAAACATTATTTTTACCACACCAAGAATAAAATGGGGAAAAGAAAAGAAAATAAATAAATCATCTTCAAAAAAAAAAAAAAAAAAAAAAAAACTATTTTCTTTTCTTTTCCCATTTTTCCTTTTGCTTGATACAGGGATCTAATCATCGATTTTATCAAGAAATAATCAAAACGAAGACGCAAAACCAATAATTAAACTGNGTGTTGTAGTGAAAAAAAAGGCATCGTAAATAGAAAACGAAGAAAACGAGAAAAAAAAGGAAAAAAAAAACATTATTTTTACCACACCAAGAATAAAATGGGGAAAATATTTTTTACTCTTCAGTAACAAATAAAAAAAAAAAAAAAAAAAAAAAAAAAAAAAACTATTTTCTTTTCTTTTCCCATTTTTCCTTTTGCTTGATACAGGGATCTAATCATCGATTTTATCAAGAAATAATCAAAACGAAGACGCAAAACCAATAATTAAACTGATACTAATTACCAATATTAAAAATAATACTAGTAATATGTACACAGGGAACAATATTATTTAACGGAGCCAATACCCAGGGTTCTTTGTTGTACCAGAGATAAGATTCTCATACTGTCGCGCACATACCCCAATAACATGCATTGCATCCTCCACTCCCCGTATTTCTCCCCCATGTGTTAACTCATTCCGTCCCTTTCCATCTGTCGTTTTGTACTCACGAAACCACTTCACAATTCCCTCTCGTAGTTCCTGCGGCACATTTGCCAACGATCCATACGCGTGTGGGTCCCCGTACGGCTCTACGATAATCTTCCAGTCGGTCTCGCCCTCATCAATGAGCCCCAACACACCCAACACCCGCACGGCCTGCACCGCGCCGGTCACTGCGGGCCGCCCGCCCAAATGCACAACATCAATCGGATCCCCATCGCCGTGGCAGCGGGTGTCGGCGTCAAGTTCGGTGGGGTCCTCCCACGTGCGGGGGGCAAAACCGTAATTAAACGGAATATCACCATATGTGAAGAAACGCAGGGGTTTCCCGGGTTTTTTCCGGTGTACATCCTGCGCCAGTGGATTATGAACCTCCTCTTTCATAAGTTCCATCTTGGCACGAGTTCCTTTCGGTATTTCACACACAAATGTGATGATAGCCGAATCTGAACAAGGATGCAGCGCTAGATCATGCCATGCAGAAGGCCGCATCGTAGCAGTTGTTGTGATATTATTGTTTTTGTTGATCTTGTTGATGTCGTTATTATTATTATTATTATTATTCTGGCATTCAAAGAACATGCGCCATGTGTGTGTGCCAACAGTACCCTCCTCACGTGTTACCCACTTTGGCAGCGTCACACCACTAGTGGCAACCAACCATGCAACTCTTGTTCTGCACAGCATCTCTCATCAATATATATACAATCATAGAAGAGAAAACGAAAACAACAAGAACAAACAAAGAAAAAAAAAAAAAAAAACAGAGAAAATAATGATATTCAAGAAATACTCCACACAAAGAGAGAGAACAATAAAAAAAAAATATATTCTAGAAAAAAAGAAAACATCCAAACAAAAATTCTGTTCCATTATTTTTTTTTTTTTTCCTTGTATGTGTGGTTGCCCACTCTTTCTTTCTCGTCTTCTCGCCTTTTTCACACCCCATCCATTCCGCTCTCTCTACGTGCAAAAAAAAAAAAAAAAAAAATGGGAATCTACCGCAAGCTGGAAAACAAAAAACCACAACACTGTTGCAGACCTTTTCCAAGAATACTAATGACAGGGGAGAGAAAAGCCCAAGCATACGACCACACTAATCCCACAGTGTGACGTGCAAAAGGCACATAACTAAGGGCATACCACAATGTACAAAATACCTGTACAACCGCAAAAATAACAGCTAGAATACTTGATTTCCAGTACAAGGTAGCAACAAGTGTAAGTAAAACAGAGACAACAAATAGGATTGCCGCCTCTAGACGTTTTGCGTCAAAGATAGATCGAATCTGTTGACGAAAACCTACAAGAAATGCTGTAGATCCCAAACAAAAAAGATTTCCCACTGTAAGAAAAAATGCAAACTTTTTTGGGAAAATAGCTATTGTAGAAGCAAAAAAACTTGCTACAACGACAAAACATAAACCCATACCAAGTGAAAGAAAAAATGCCATAAGACGTTGTTTATATGAAAGTGAAGACATTTCATGTAAGTCATTCGCCCATCCACTATCCCTTGGCATCTCTAGAACTTCAACCTCCTCTGGTGGTTCATCACTTACAAGGTTGTACGCCTGATGTTTGAAGTTATCCCAGTATCGGGCAGCAGCAGTACCACCACTACTAAACATCGCACCAATACCATCTTGGGCTTGATCAAGAACACCCGCCCCACTTCCGGGGCGACTGGAGGCACGACTACCAGAAGACAGTGTTTGACAGAAAATTCTTCACTTGAATTACAGATAAAAAAAAAAAAAAAAAACACCTAAGAAAAAACAACAAAACAAGAAGAAAACAATAGTAAAAAAAAAAAAAAAAAACATTGTATCAATCCAACAGAATACTAACGATGGTTTCTTTGTTTTTTTTAATCTGTACAGAATGAGAAAAATAGCATCAGTAAAAAAGAAAAAAAAAAAAAATAGTAGCAGAAATAAACAAAGAAAAAGCATAATGTACCATTTTTTTCCTCATTCATCTGGTACCACCTTTTATTCTACGGTTTCCTCTTGACCAGACCTTTCTTCCTTTTCTTCTTCCTTTTGCTCCTCCTCGATATATGTACCTATTTGTACGTTATCAGCAGTCGTTGATCCTTCTTCCTTCTGCTTTAATATAGCTTCCTTTACACGTAAAAGTCGTTGTTTTATCATTATGAGTTGTCTAAATAAAACAGCCACATCTGAACGGCATCTTGCCACTCTAGTACAACAATTATCTAGTTCATGACGCTGTGTATTATTTATGGTATTAAACTTTCCCTGGGCCTCTTGTAATTCGTTATTTAGAGACTCAATATCCTTGTAAAGGAGTTGCTGCTGCATTAGAGCACGTTGCATAACCTCCGCTGTGCAAGTAGCCGGCTGCAGAAGTGAAGAAATAGCATCCGTTACAAACTCACCCATATGTTCATTAGAAAAAGAATCCTTTTCCTCCATTTGTACTATACATATATATATATATATATATATATATAAGCTGTACACAGAAGACGCATACTCAAATGTGTAATAACCCACAGCACCCCCCACAGACGCAAAAACACAAAAAAAACAACAACCAAAGACCAAAAAAAAAAAAAAAAACATAAATAAATAAACGCACCACAGGAGCGCAAAAAACATGTGGTGAAAAAGAGTAAAAAGAAAAAAAAAAAGAGAAAGAAAGAAACTGACTAACGAAGGAGAAAACAGTAGGAATAAAATATTATATTTTTTCATTGCTGTAGTGTGTTTCTTTCTTTTCTCTCCATCATCACATCATTCTGTAATTATAAAGCCATGGTTGTGGTCCTTGACGGAGACCATCAAAGGAAGGGGCCTCACGCATTTTATACTTTGCGAGTCCTACCGTTATTTCCCCCGGAGTCTCACTATTGTCAAGATCAGCCGCCACACCATCACCATTAGGTGAGACCCGGTGTAGACAACGCATAAAGTGCACACGACCACCCCAGACTCTAAAATAGAGACAATTTTTAAGTAACAATGAGAAGGGAACCCCATCGGCATGTGTGTGAATACTGAAAGAAGGATCTAATTGTCGAATCATCTGAAAAAGTTCATGAGGTTTTACAGAGACCTCATCATAAAAAGAGAAAGCTTCATCCTTCGTATTTGAAGTCTTACTTGATGAAGCATTAGACATTAACGGTGATACAATATCATTCTCCGCAACAAATTCAGCAGGAAGAGGTGGTCCATACTTCAACACGGCTTCATATGCTAACGCATCAAAACGTTGTTGAATAATACTTTTTCCACTTACTTGATCTACACGATCGTAACCTAAATGTGAGGTAGATGATGTTGGGCCACCAGTTTGCCTTCCAGTTGATTTCCGCCCAGTTGCACCTGCGCGAGCGTCATCTTCAGCAACCGCCTCCTCCTGTTGACGGCGTAGAAACTCCACATCATCCGGTGTGAGATGTCTACTACTACTACTACTACTACTACTACTACTACTACCATTTCCACCATTACGACTATTAATATTAGTATTAGTAGTAGTATTCATATGAATACTATTTCTGTTAGTAGTATTATTTTTGCTGGTGTTATGATGGCTTGTGAGACTTTTTCTTTTTTGTCTTCCTTCCTCCTCTTTCGTTCTTAGCATGTTTTGTCGTGCGAGTACTGTTTTTGAGATGCGGTGTGTCCACTTCTGCGTGGGGTTTCTGCGTGTGGCTGCGACCAACGTGGCGAGTCGACGCTCCGCCCGCCACTGCCTTCCCGCTGTTCCCAACACATCACGGAACATCCCACACTGCCGGGTAGAGAGAATTAACAAACAATAACAACAACAAGAGAGAAAGAGAAAGAGAAAAAAAGAGGATTTTCTACGGGTGTCAGTATATTATTATTATTATTATTATTATTATTATAGTTTCTTGAGTAATCACAGATTTCATCATATGGCTAGTTTATAATTACAAAGGCACGCATCATCAAAGGTACAACATTAACGACAAATTGTAGAGAGGAAAACTTGAAAAAAAA